TGGAGTTGGTTTATCTTCTTCTTCCTCTTCTTCTTCACTTTCATCATCATCTTCATCTTCACTTTCTTTAATCGAATGTGAAGGTGATGATGTTAAATAATAAGCTGTTGTAAAATGATTAACATCTTTTTCGATACAACGTAACCAAGTATCTTTTAATATAAGTAATGCTCGTTTATATAATGGTTCAAATGAAAGTTTATCGAATTTATATTCATGAAATGTTTCAACCCATTTATTTATTTGAACATCTGGCATAAATTGATCAAGAGATAATTTAGCTGAATTACCTAAAAGAAATAAAAAAACTTGAATGTTTGACAATTTTTTCTTTTTTAAGATGTGGTGAATGAGAATATTCAAATAGCAACGATTTTGACTTTATTTCTATGTATATAGTTGGATAGAGTTTTGACCTGCTGATGACAAATATGTGGGGTTTGCGTTTTTATTTCAATTAGCTTTAAGGAAAGAAAATATAGAAATATTCGAAAAGTATAAAAATCGTTCATTTAGAAAATATTCAAAGATGTCTTTTTGTCTAATACTAAGTAGAACAAAATTACTCTAAAAGTCATCATCGTTACCAAACTTTTATAAAAATGTATGGAAATTGTATTCTATTTTGACTTTTGATTTAGAGCGAAAAAATTTAAATCTATTATTTAAGATATGATTCAGGTAATTATCTTTTCATATCTAAAAGTTGAACAAACAAAATCATGTATATATCCGATCAAAATTTCAGATGTTCGATCAAGATTGTTTTTGAAATGAAACAAGATTTTTAAGCATCTTTTTTTTTCAAATGTTTAATGAAGATGATGGATATCGAAATAATTTTGTCCTATATAGTAAGAGACAAAAAGATTTCTAGAGCTCTCTTTTGTTTGATGAAAGTTCAGAACTAGATAGTTGTTACCTTGTCGAGTTATCGAGATTATACCCCCCATTCTTGAATCCTGATACGAAGATTAGTTCCTTTTTTGTATGAAGAGATAAAGCTACGTGTTTTATTTCATTAAATATCTCGAAGATGAAGGTTTAAAAGTATTCATTTGTAGTGTTTAAAAATTTGGTGTTATGAGTGTGAAAATGGAAGTTTTCGATCTAAAAGGCAAAATCCTACAAATATTCAGCCATTTTGACGAACAGAAAACAAAAGTATGAATGTTAGATTGAAAATCAGCTTAAAAATTTGCATTGAGTCACATATATTTCATTGAAAAAAAAAGTGACGTACAGCAATCACACAGGTTAGTTTCTGATGGAAGATGTTTTTCAATGAACTGTATATGGTTCGATGCAAGTTTTCTTATCTAATCCCAAATATGAAGTTCATATCACTATTTTCTGATAGTTCGGTCACCAAAATATTGTCGAAGAAGAAAAAGATATGACTTGAAAAGCTTTGGTAATAAAACTGTTAAAAAATTTGAATTTTTTCCAAATGAACAATTTTTATTTTCCTTGTGCATTTCCGAATTTTCTACCTTAATAAAAAATCGAAAAAATTCCTAAATCAAGATATTCATGATCAACATGTGAGATTCTATTCAAGGACGCAAAAAAACAAAACTAAATTCGTTCTTATTCGAATTTTATATTAATCATGTCTTACCAAAATAAGTATTTAAAATTGATAAACCATGTTGACTTTCAAGAATTTTATCATCAATATTTGAATAACGAAAATCATCAACATCATAACAGAAAAGCATTAATGGTAATAATTGACGTTCATTTTCTGTAACATAACGAAGAAAAAGTCCGCCAGCATGTTTATCTTGTCGAATAATTGTTGCATATTTTTTCATAAATTTATTATCAAACGAATTTTCAATTTCATCTTCCATATCTTGATTATTTTTATTTAAAATAATATTTTCATTTGTTGTATAATCCGTTGAAATAAAGACACGTGTCATTTCGATAAAATTTGTTTGTGTACGTTGGTCAATTGGATAAAGACAAACATCTGCTGGTCGATTTAATTCAATTGGAAAATATAATTGTGAATGACGTTGTTCAAATAATTGATGAATTATAAATCTTGCTGACCAATATACACGTAAACGACGTAAAACATCATATTGTACTTGAATAAAAACTTCATGTGATAATGAACCAGCTGTATCCGCATAAGCACGACGAATTTTATTTTGTAAATGACGCATAAACGGTAAATGATATTTACCATCATTTAAATCACGAAATAGACGTGTACGTGCAACAACATTTGGAATATTATCAAGAGAAACCATTGTGTCTTTAAAAAATTCACAATCCATCCAAAACCGATAAAGTTCATAGCCGCCTTTAGTTGATTGAAGAAAACGAACAAATGATTGCATACCTTGGAATGAACCTAAAAATAAAATCGATTAAGAATATATTGATGACATCTTTTTAAATTCACATCAATCCCCTAGTTTTCTTATCTATACATTTAGATGTTTTCGAACAGTAAAATAATAAAATTGTATTTATAATAGGCAATAGATAAGAAATTTGATTTGTTTTTTAGTTTCTATAGAGCTATAAAAATGTATCGCACGAAATTCACGATTTCAACTATCATGATACGAAGCCTAATTGTGGTAAAACAATTCAAGTCGAAATTTTTTTCATGCCATTGAAATGCATAGATCTCAAGATATCTCCATATCACATGACTTTCTTTCCTTCGACAAACATTTTAATGCTTGCATGAATTAGGCGTACATTTAAAGTAGCTCATACTCTGAACGTATAAAAATCATATGAATGAGTACACTTGAAACGATTAACTAGAATAAAATAATAAAAACTTTTCTGCTTAAGATGAAAGAGTGCTCATTGACATTGAGAGTGTTTAAAATTTTGAACGTGAAACTGACGAATAACACTAAAAAATACCTATAACATGTAATTAAATTAGTTTCTAGAATTATAGATTGTGTTTTTATCGTTGTGATAGATAACGGGATGTAATAGAGTACTATTGTCGGTAGCTTGTAATGTTTTTGATAAAATATTTCAATTGTAATTATCGTAACACGCTTGACGAAGAATTCAAGTGTGTGAATAAAGATGTTGAGTGATGAAATAAGAAATTCAAAGAATAGATTTCAATACTTTAGAATCTATTGTTTCTCTTTTAATTGAATCTAGGAAATAAAATATCTTTGTTCTGTCCGTCTTTTGATAAAAGATTTGATTTAAAAGTACTTTTCAAATATGAATAAGTATGAGTATGTTACTGGTACTCGGACAGAGATCGAATGAATACATTCAAACGAGTCATATACAAAATTCAATTATAAGGCTTAAAATTAAGAAAAGATCACTAGTAAAAAATAAAGATGTCTCGTATAACCAATTCAATCTACTGATGGTATCAGTTTTCGACTTAGACATGTTCATGTCTTTTACAGATATCCTTCATAGTAGTCGAGACAACTTGTATTTGCTTAGCTCTGATGTTTTCTACATTTTATAAAAACTTACCTAGATATTTATACTTCAGTTGATTACTTGAACTTTGTATTTCTAATCCCAAATCTCCTACATCATTATTTTCTTCTTCATTTTCAGCTTCTTCAAAATATTTCATTTTAGCACTACTATACATTGATAAACTTCTTGGATCATTTGGATCCTCTGATGAAGTATTTTCATCATCTTTTGGTAATGATTTTCTTTGACTTGTCTTAGAACTTGATGATCTTTTCGACATTTTCGTCGGATATTTTGTAGGTATACTTGGAAAAAATATTGAAAGAGAACTAACTAAAATAAATTTATAATAAAAAAATTAAATAAATAATAAATCAATTAGTCTTACCCATATTAGCTGGTACAGAATAAGCTCGACTACCTGGTCTTAAAAATGCTTTTGGCATACGTAAAAGTTCTGAAACCATAATATTATTTTCAAATATCATATTTGCATTTGTAAATGGTTCATTTTGATCAAAATCTTGTTGTTCTTCATCTTCTTCAAGTGTTGCTGTTTGTGCCATTCCATGTCCAGTTGAATTATCTGTTGAAAGTGTTCGAGCAGCTGTATAAACACTTCTACAAGAAAAAAAAATAAACAAGAAAAAAAATTGAAAGGAATCCTGATTGTTTGTTTTAAAATAATATTAAATAAAACTTACTGTCGACTATAACCACCAATACCTTGACTAGAATATTCTGATGGTTCATTTTCATTAGTTAATGGTCGTAATAAAAGTTTACATAGTTTATATTGTCGATAAAGTTCTGTACGCCAAAAAAGAACTAATCGTTCATTTTTAACCCATTCCATTATTTGTGCTTGACGAGTTTTTTGTGCATTTGAATTATTATTATGTGTTAATTCAGGTATATCATCTAATTGTATTATATCCGAAAAACCACTATAAATACTGTTAGTATCCATTTCATTGATTTTTTTTTCATTATTATTGGACGATTTTTCATCATTTATATTTAATATTTTATCTTGAGTTCTTTCAATAAATGTATTTAATTCACGATTATATTCAATTTTTTGTACAAATGTACCCAAACGAAGAAATTCATTAAAATATTCAACAAATATATCATCTAATGAAAGTAGTTCATCAAATTCATGTATAGTACATGAATCGGCAAAAGATGCAGACGGCTGTTCGGGCATGTTGAATTGTTGGCGTGCAATGCGATGATGTTTACTTTTCTATCGAACGGAACAACGAGTGTGCGCAAAGAAGAAATCAAACATATATATATATATATATATATTCTTTTTTTTATGTTTCATCTCATCATGAGGTGAGTGTTTGACTTCGATTGGCATGAGAACGACAGCATAAAAGGAAAGAGAACAAAAGTCGTTGCCGTTGCTACTTAACTGATGAGAGATTATGGACATCATTCTGCTGACTCAATAGCAATCATATTATAATAAAAAAATACAAAAAAAAAGAGAAAAAAGAAGTTTATAACCATTCAAGACAGACAATTTGCTTTTTATTATCAATAAGTCTATTTTATGATGGAATATTGATAACAATAGAATCTTGTCGTTGTTTTTCTTCTAATTGATAACTAACTGTATGTAAACCTATTGATATGCCTGATAAGTGACGTTTTAACAATGGTATTAATTCATGACTTCGTCTTAACTGCATAGCTAATATATGACGTTTATGCCTATGAAACCATACATGAACACCTGATCTACTACTCATATTTGGATCGTTAATATCAAAATCAAGTACTGTTGTTAAACATTCCGTTTGTTTAGGTTTATTATGTTTACCACCACCAATAATTCTATGAGCTTGTCTTTGATCAGCTTTTGATAATTGACTCCAATGTATATGAAGTACACAATTTTGGCTAGTTTTATTAGTATTTATATTTTCCATAGTACTATGAACTTGATTTCGAACAACTTCTGCTTGTCCAGCTGGACAAAAAGCACCCATTAAACGCCAAGGTAAACCAAGTAAAACTGGATCTAATATTGGATTAAATGCAATTGATACTGTTGCTAAGTCGGCACACATACATACCATACTTCCGCCAAGACTAGCTCCAATTAAAATAACATGTTGATAAAGTGTAGAATATATTTGTATTAAATTACGATAATATGTTAAACCTTGCCATCGATAATTTGGATCTTGTAAATAAAAACATTGTGCTGGATCTGTAAAAAATAATGCATCAAATTCATCGTCTGTATCACGATGTACTTCTCTCATTGAGCCACGCCATTCTGTTGTTCGTACACCACCAACAATCATTGCAGCACCAGCAAAACTCATATATAATGTTGGAGAACGATGTGTACATAATAAATTAGGTTCGATGTGTGCAGCAGACTCTTTCGTATGACACTGACATTTACTATTAGCTGGACAATACGTTTGCCGTCTTTTTTCAAGATGATCAAAACGTATGCGTGTAAAAGCAGAGAATTTCGATAGAAAATATCCATGACCACGATGTCGTTTTATAAAAATGTATAATAAACTTAAAATAATGGCAATAATTACAGGAACTATTAGAAAAAAAAACCACTTCCATTGATACATTTTTTCTTTTGTAGTCAACAATAAAATATGTAACTAGATAAGCGTATACTTTATGTAAGTATATAGATGAGAAAATAGTTATTTACATTGGTAAATATACCTTTGCAATCTATATGATATTGAGAGTCACGCTTGATTGTACATGTATCAATTTCTGATATGATGCATGTATCATTTGATAATAATGCTTCGAGAAAAAGGACGAAGTCTATAAAGGTAAATACGTCATCTTATTATTAGAACGAGATGAATAATATGTAAAAGGCATAAAACATGAGAAAAACACCTATTCAGAAGAAAAAACATTTATACATAAAAATCAAACTAATGACGCATGTCTTGAATATATTGTGTAGGTTTATATTTTATTGGACGTGACTTCGGATGTTACGCAGTGAAAACTCAACCTGATGTAATATGTATAACATCAAATAATGATTAAAATTGGTTGAAATTGAAATTGATTGTAGAGAAAATTAAGAAAGAAGACCAGAATGTGGTAATTTGCATGGTTATCTTAAAACAATACAATTGTCAAAACAAATGTTCAAATTGACTGACTTTTTATAGGTATGGCCTGCTGATGATAGACAAGCCACCTTTTTTTCGTGTCCGTCATGGTCTATAGATTTTTACTACGTTGGTTTCATAATAATATATGAAACAAATCAGAAGGTAGTCTTCATTAATAGGGAAAGGAATCATTGAAACCCACGTAAAATACTTAGATAAGATAATTATCAAATCAATACACAACATATCTACAGAGAGTAGTCCACTAGAAAACGTTAACATTTGACAGGAAAAAAACCATTCTTGTTTCTCATCAAGAATTTTTTGAATAAATTTGACCAGTTAGTTGAATAAGACATATCAATATGAGATATTTTACAAGAAAATAAATTTATAAAGAAAGAAACAGTGCAAAGTTTGTTCTAGATAATAATCATATTCTGTACAAAGAAAAAAAAAATACAGTGACTTAACGACACACATGAAAAAATATGATGAGTAAGCTACCAATGAAAAACCTGATCATGTATCACTATTAGTCATGTTTATGCCCAGTAAACGTAAACGGGTGACAAAGAAAGAATGACGATATTAAGATGTGAGAAATATCTCTTGCAGCCTCATAGTTTAAACTACGTTGTTTTGTTTTGTTTTTAGAAAAATATCTTTTTTTGATTGTTTACAAAGATATATGAACGGAGTTGTATAGTCAAATGTAATCGTAACAGCACTTGTGGGAAAAAACGGATATGCGTGAAAAGTATCTTTTTTTTTCTAATATATATTGACACAATAATAATTTGTTTTCTCCGCCTCATTCATCAGAGCTTAAAGTATTATGATACTTATTCCCTTCTGTTTTCAAGTATTTTCTTTCTCACAACAATCAAAACAAGTCGATTGAATAATACTATGAGATTGAAGGAATGATTTGTCTTGACGAACAAGCTAAATTGATGGAGAAATTCTCTTTTTACGCATAAAACGTAACTAAAATGAATCGTATATGGATTAGATCATTAAGTAATGCTGTTAAAAAAAGAAAGCATGTTTCTTCGAACTGATAAATATTTGAATAGAAAATGTTACCTTTTTTCTCTAATCACATGAAAATTTCGAAAAAGTCTCACAGTCGATTCGAAATACCTAAATATAAGCAAAAAAAAATGAGAAAGAATTTGTTTAGACATGTAAAAAAAAATCTGATTGTAATAGAATTTTTGTAATTCAAAATCTATAATAATGTCACAATTATAGTCTTAATTTAATCAGATTTAAAATAAAAAAATCAGTTTGAATAGATTTTTTTTTAATTAACATATTATAATTAATTTTTTATAATTTTAAATCTGATTTAATTACGATTATAATAGTGCCATTATAAAAAGTTTCTAATTACGAATAAAATCTATCACAATCGATTTTTAATCACGTTGAAAACGATCATAACCAAATTTCTTCCACTTCTTGTCCATTTATACATGTTTATCTAGTATTATCTCTTAATCTGTTATAATCTATTATAACCTTTTAATCTATTTTAATTGTACGTATCGAAGATAAGTTGTTTTCTTGAGATTTGAACAAGAAATCCATAATTTTCTATGAGTATTTTGATTGCTCGTGTTCACAAACTAAAAAGTTGCTACTGAACCGAAGTCACACAAATGTAGTAAATTTCGAATTTCTATATAAATTGTTTCAACTTGAGATGGTTTAATTACAATAGAAATCGATGAGAATAAAAAAATTAATTAAAATTGATTACATTTTTAATTGATTATTTAGATTACATGCGGTAAAATGGTTTTAATTAATTATTACCTGAAAAAAGTCATTTTAATGGATTATTCTATTGAATTTAATCAAAATGTAGTGTATTTATTCGGATTTTTGTGATTTTTGCGAGAAAATTAATTTCAATCTGATTTTTTGATCATGTTTTACATGGTTATGCGTGTTTCAAAATCAAAATATTTTAAACATAGGTCACCTTATAGGACTTTCCAAAAACTACTATACTTCATTGTCTGCCTTTCTAAATATAGTCCAATTGTGACGTGAAATACAGAAAACCATAAGAAACATTGTGATAAAATGTGCTTTCAGAGCATAATAGTGTTCAAGTCATGAGCTTTGGTGATTACATTTTGTAGCAATGTCTTTCACATATCTTTGTAGTGACTAACAGTTTTTATGCGCCATTTGTTATATTCAAAGTGATTTTTCAGATTCAGCGATACAAATAGCCAACTATATCGATTAATAATCATATCCCCCGCTCAAAGCAGGAATTTTGTGTTTAAAGTTTTATAAAAATATGAGAAACAAACGGTCTATCTGACTTGTTTGAGTTTCTGGTACACAATATTAATATATATACATATAATTCTTTATTTGTCAATATTACAATCGATGTTCTCACATAGTGTCGAAAAAATTCGTTTTTAACTAATACCTTTAGTATATAGAATCTTGATATTAAAAGATTATAGTTTGAAATCATTGTCAATGATGTGATTATAAATTTTGTTCATATGTTTTCGTTCTCAGTGTTAATCAGTTTTACAATAAATAAACTCATTTCTTCTTACGAATATTTTACAATAACTTGCATGAAATCTTGATATTTTTTGCTTTGAATTATTGAGCGTAAAAGTAATTATTTGCATGTACAAATGTAAAGAATTTCAATTTCTACAAAACTATCAATTCTATATTTTCAAACAAATTTCTCTTGTTGATATCAAACTGGAAGTATTTACATCTACACAATCATTCAACTGTAATTTTTTATCTATTGGTTAACAATTTGAGGGCCAAATTTTGGATGGACGATTTGACTTCAGGTTATGAGTGTGAGTGTGAGTGTGCAGGTGTGGATGTGGAAGGAGTGTGGATATGGGAGGAGTGGGGATGTGGGAGGAGTGGGGATGTGGGAGGAGTAGGGATATGGGAGGAGTGTGGATGTGGATATATGTCTTGTCTTCAACCATGGTTACACTCAAAGCGACATCCGCAAACCTACGCCTACAGACACAGCCACACTCATACATCTCACCTCACACTCACACCGAGAAATTAGTCATATTTATGCAGTATTATCGTTCTTTCTACCAGAATCATTTTTCCTAATTTATTACAGGTCTGTGGCTAAAAAAAAAGTGGTACATATATGTACCACTGGTCATCAAAGGGTTAAATTTAGAAATATGCAGGGTATCCTAGTTTTTCCTGCATATATCTACACAAATTAAATGATTTTTATAATAAACTTTTATTGATCAAAGGAAAAGATAAAACCCCATTATTTAACGCAAATAAATAACAGCTTTCATGATTCACGCTTTGACAACTTCTTCAAGATTCCTGATGATACAACTCGATGGAGAAAAAAGTTCCACACTAACAGATATCTTTATTTTTCGATACATTTGTTCATTTTGTTTTTTTTCCGGTGCCATAATAGGAAGACTCAATAGACGTAAAGGCTCTACAATTGGTACAAACAAGGCAAATTTGTTTGACAAGTGATGACATTATTATTGGAGAGCTTGAAATTCTCTATTTTTTGGGTGCATGGTAAAAGCCATTTTCGACGCCTCGAAAATAAAAAAACACTCCATAATTTAGTATAATGTCTACTAATACGCCTATGACTATAATGATTTAAAATAATCAATAAAATTCATTTTCATCTTAGATTTTTTTTCTTTAATCAATCAGTAGTTTACTTGCCTCGACATAGTATTCGACACATCAATTCTTCTATTATTTTTCGATATGCTAATTAAAAAAAAATATGATTATATACTTTATATTATACAAGTATTATTTCTACCAAAACAGTTTCGAGATCTTTCAAAACAAAAATATGAAAACGACTTTTTTTTTTCTTTTACTTTAAATAACAGTATTAAAAAAATAAAATAGAATTCATTGTTCTGTAATAAATAACAAGTAAACAAATCAACATTCTTTCTACCTAAAAATTACTCTCGATTGACAACAAACGTATTAAGGATATTAAAATTTTTACGTCCTTATTCACTTATACTATCTAGTTACTTTGTTTGTACAAGTAAAAGTTATTAACAACCGTACATTTCATGCGTTTATTTTTTTTTCATTTTGTTTCTTCATCGTTATTCGTTAAAACTTTAAGACATGAAAGCACGGTTTGTCAAGCACTTAAAAACGTAAAAAATGAATGCTGAATAAACACGTAAGACAATATAGTGTTTAAATAACAAAAAAAGCAATAGCAACGACGTGAATATAGATGCCCAAAAAATAAAAGAAAACGAAAATTTTCAGATGACATCAAATTCATCATTGAATTATCCAGCTGAATATTATTATCCAGAATTTCTTGAAAGTCGTCCAGATGATCCATTAAAATCTCCTTCATCACGTTTACCAATAACAACATCTATTGATAATGGTATTGGTTCATCAACACGAGTTTCAACATATATTGAAAATAAAAATGAAACAAAAACTAAAAAAACACCCATCAATACAAAACAATCAGTTACTAATATAGCACATAATGTTGTTATAGATCAAGGCTTACCTGATGTTGATATAACACGATCGCTTAAAATTGATCCAAAAAAAAATCTTTTACGTGATCCAGCTGCAAGAAATATTCCAAGATTAATTGTTGATGATAATGTTATTAAACAAGCTGTTGTTCGATCACCTAAAATAATACCAACAACTAATCTTGATGATAATTTACAACAAACAACAAAAGTTAATCAAATCAATCAAATACAACAACCTCTTCCATATAATTATTTGAATGGAAATTTAACAAATAAAATACAACCTTATGAGCCTATAAAACAATATCCTATAAGTTATGTTGAAAATCAACAACCAATTGATGATTATTGGAAAAAAGAAGTTTTAATTGATAATGAAGGTGTTGTTACTATTGAAGTAAGAGAATTTTTATATTTTTAAAATGAATTAAGTTTCATGTTTTTTTTTTTTTAATTAGCCTATAAAATATAATAAAGATACTTATGATGGTCCATTTGGTTTAACACGTAAAGGTGCTTTTGTTTTCTATATTGGTATGGCAATATTTACTATACTTGCAGGTGTTTTCTTAATTATGACTGGTATATTTTATGCTCAAAGTAAATAAATTATTTTTAGCGAAAAAAAAAAGAAAAATCTATTACTAAATGTTTTTTTTTCGTAAAGGTTATCCTGATAGTTCATCAAATACTGGTAAATTAACTGGTATGTGTATATGTGCATTTGCATTTTATCTTGGTTTACAGTTAATTTTAATTGGTTTATGGCATCAAAAATATCGTCAAGAAAATCCAACACAAATTATTGAAAAATCAAATAAACATAATGATTCATCAAGACATTTAAAATCATCTATGGAAAATAATGAAACATATGATTATACATATCAACAACCACAAATTGATTATACACCATATGACTACTACTCTAATCCACCATATGTTTCAAATGCTAATGAACAAATGTTATTACAACAACCAGGTGCAGCAACAGGTGCTGCTTTTTATGAACCAGTTGTTTGGCCATCCAATGTTGAAATTGAAACACAACCAGATTCGAAATTTCTTCAACCTATGGAATGGTCATATGGAACACCATTAGTCAAACCAACATCATTAACACCAGCACCTATATCTTCATCGATTACAAATAATAATTGTGAATATATAATAAATATATATATATATATCCTCATTATTTATTTTTATTTTTATAGCTGAAAATAAAATTAATGATCATTATAATAAGAAAACAGTTGTAGCTAATCCACCAAAAGCTAAATTTGATAATCTTTTTCCGAATTCAACTGTTACAGAAGCACCATTACCAGTATTAACTAAAGCACCGGAAACACATGATCTTGTAAGTATGAATTAAACTATGTAATAAAGATTGTTACATTTGTTTTATTACTCATTTCTACGAGAGAAAAAAAAAGAGAGAGCAACCAAAAAAATTCTAAATTATAATTACATACTTCTCATAAGAATATCATATTTCATATCTCAATACATTAGTGAGAAGATGTATTACGACAAATGATAATTCAAGAAGAAACACTATTTGGACAGTTAATTAATAATATTTCACATTATCAATTAATCTAATTAGAAGAAAATGAATGAATAATTTCTACTCTGAAATATCCTTCGTTTTTTTTTCTAGGTAAGAACAATCATTGATCAAGAAAAACATATTAAAAAAAATTTACCGAATGGTATTTTAAAAACAAAAAAATCTAATCGAATAAAACTATTCGATGGTGAAACTGAAAGTTCAACCGTAATCAGTTCTGATCACCATAGACATCCTTCACGTCATCACCGTCGACAACATCGTCATCATGCTTCTTCATCATGTTCAACATGTTCAAGTTGTTCATCTATTGATCTCTATAGTGATACTAATTATCATTCTCGTCATTATCAAGAACAATATTCTGGATCAAAACCTAATGCAATTACAGTACAAGCTTCAAAAACACATACACGTACACCAACAAAAACAAATAAAGAAATCTATCATGATACTGGTTTAGAAGATATACCAAGTATTTATATATCATTGAGTAAATCGACTTTTTTTTTCTTCTCTTTTCTATTAGATATTCAAGATAATCATCTTGAACAAATTCCTGTTGTTCGTCGTACAATTATAGTTGAACCATATCCAGGTCAATCCAATTCAGACATAGTTATTAAATCACATACTGATATAACGGGAAAACATCGTTTCAAAAAAAATCAAAATAATTCAACAAATACAAATTCTAAAACAAAAAGAAACACAATAAAAAGTAGTGATAATACAATGGATGACATACAATTAGAAGATGTTAATGATGATATATATGATAATGAAAATTCTAAAAAGAAAAAAACAAATAAAATCTCATCAATAAAAAAAGTTAATAATGCATATTATAATTAATTATTATGTGATTCTTATGTATATTAATTTCTTTTTTTGTTAATGGGGAATAAATTAAAATGAAACTAAAAAACTTTGTTTTATCATTTGAATAGGATGCATTTAAATTTTGTATTTTTAATAAATTATTTTAAAAAAGACTAAAGATACATTGTAGAATTCAAAATAATGAATTGTTTTTCTAAATTATTTTTTTAGTAAAAGACAAGTAATGTTCATCAAGACTCGATTCACTTGACTCCAAACAGATGGGATAGAAATATGTATATAAGTGTATCTAGATATAAACATTATTGCTATCAGCAAATGTCGAACATCATTTTAGAGTATGCTAGTCTTGAAGGTATTAGTGAGTGTACATCTATACCTTCACAATGCTAGTGGTAGTGTAACAGATTAACGATCTATGTGCTATGACAGATCATAACAGCATCATAAGAAGTATGCACAAACGAATTAGGAGTTGATTCGAAATGTTTTTTTATTGTTGCATTGTCGTAACCGTATTCCTTGGAGTTCTTTAACACTGACCTTGAAATTTTATTTTAAATTTCAGATGATTTTTTTGGAATGTTATGTGATCATAAAGATGTATGCATACATTTATTAACATAAGAAAAATCAATACAATTATTTACAATTGATTATTTTATGTTTATTTATATTACAAGAGAAAAATTAATTATACACGATTTAAATTATTTTATTTTATTTTATCATAAAAATATGTTCAGACTTATTTCTCACCTCTTAATAACTATTACATCATATTCTCATGCAAACTGCATTGAACAATCGATCGAACAATAGTTTAATAACAATATCACCACTTTTAAAGACATCTCAAATCGAATAAGTACATTTGTAAATGACTTTGAATTAGTATATTACGTTACTCAATGTCATGATTGCATTTCTTCGTATATGATACTAAGAAACGCGATCTTTTACGAAGTTTGTAAATAGTGAAACACAGAATGTATAAGAATTGCAACTTCTTAATTCTAGTACATCACTACTTGGTTAATTTGAATCTTAACGTGTGGATGCTCTTTTCGTTATCCTACGCAGCCTTATTTAGTATTGTAGCCGTAGAAAGCAGAGAATCATTCGAACCATAGTTACCATATGGTAGACAGACACAAGTGGATTACCGCTTCTAGACCCTATCCTTTTAGTCTAGAGAACAGATAAAATAAAAAATTAAATCTGTTTGGATTTAAGTTTGTTGGTATTCTTAGATTTTCGATTATAGTACCAATCGATTTCGAAGATTTTAAATGCATATGAAAGTTGTTGAAAGCTTCTATTAGAACATAATATGATTTAACTGACCAAGATAAGTTAATGATTATTTTGGTAAGCGAATTCATAGAATATTGAAAAGATTATCCGTTTATATATATATATCGACTAAAAATTATTTCTCATTAAAAGAAAAAATATTATAGACATATTATTCAATGAGTAAAAATTTTTGATATGTTAAATTTTTTCTACTATATCGGATTAATGTATGATGTAAACTAATGAGCGAACATATAAGATTGTTGGATGCCATTTGACTGCATATTATGGCTATGACTGGATACGTATGAGGCTTCAAAAACCTTCAAAGGATTCATACAAGTCACCTACTGATGAAGAGCTAATACTGTATGAATGAAGTTTGTACTTAAAGTAAAATACTTTCAAAACAATCTAAAACAAAAATTTTTGACCTGAAGTTTTGTCTATAGACAGAGTTACTAGTCATTAAATACTGTGGAAAGACTTCACATAAAGAAAACATGTCTTTCTCGATATATATACAATTTTTGTTGAACTTGAATTTTTTGAGATAGACATGTTCATCAGGACTATCTAATGACTATTAAATCCGTTCATTAGCAAAAAAATTTAAGTCTAAGTTTTTCGGTTTTTTTTTTGAATATGTTTTACTCTTAGTAAAAGTTTTATTACAACGGCTATAACTCTTTAATTTTAGGCCATAGGTCCGATTCCTTTTGAGTCTCATAGAGACCTACTCGTAGCCATAGTATTAAGTCGAAGGATATCCAACACTTGGATATATTCTCTCGTAAGTTTCTAGAAAACATTCAAGAGTATGTTTCAAAAAACAATTGCATTTAATGATACTCCCATAATGACGGACAACATAAAAAATATAAGAACATTGATGGTAATATATGCTCGACTATTAAATTGTTCCAAATTTATATAAAAATTTCTTTATCATTGTAACTAATTAAATACACTATGAGATTATCTTTAAAATAATAGAGATATAACAAATAAAAAAACATGACTTCTTTCATTTAAGGCCGATAGATTACTGTTTTTATTGGTGGTGGTCGAACACGAGTAACACGTTGATCTTTTGACATAAGATAATTTTCCATTTCACGTGTGGTCATACCTGATACTTCTTGATATGCAACAATTTTTTTTGGAACAGGCTTAACATATGATGCGAAACGATTATTATTATCAACATAATCTTCTACTATAATTCGACGAGTTCGAATAGGTTGTGATGGAAAACTAATTGGTGTTTTTGGAATTACATCAAGACGAATAGGACGACGAGGTGTTGTGCTAGTATTTTGTATACGTGATGGTGGTAATTGAAATGAATTCGATTCCAATTGAGGTGAAGATTGTATTAATTTTGGTCGTGATAAAGGTTTTTTTATCGGTTGAATAAATTTTTCTGGTAATGATGATTTATTATAAACAGATGTATCTTTCATTGGTTTAATAGGTCGTTCATCAGGATCTAAAGATTTTGATGAATGATTTTGATTAGATATTGTATAAAGATTAGATTGTGATGACTCTCGTTTAAGTGGAATATATGCATTGGATGTTGATGAATGAATTCGAGATGATGTATGTTGTAATGTTGGATCAGTAGAACCTGGAGTATGACGACGTATTGGTAATGGAAGTACTTCACTGGAATTTATTCGATGATGGTGAACATTGTTAAATTTGGATGGATTTTGTAATGTTCGAGTTCTAGTTGAATTATTTTCATTAGAATTTTGTCCATTATCATAATAATATTCATGAGGATATGGTGGAGTATAAACTTTCTCTGGCCATCCTTCATCATCGACATAAAAAGGATAATCCGCTAACACAAAACAAAAAAAAGGAAAAAGAAATTTACAGAAAATATTTATAAATTTTTCATCTTATCTCACTTGGATAAGTAACAGCCATGGCATTGATTTCAATGTATTACAACAATGTAAATGCAGAACGTTTTTACTTTTTCTCGTTCTTGGTCGAAGAATGAAGAATTCTATTGACTTTTTTAATGCATTGAAACTGAAGGTGTCATGCTGATTTTCTTTTCCATTCAAATAAACAAAAAGAAAAAATTTTTTTTAAATAACATTCTGTTGCATCTACTTGACAACATTCATTTGAAAAAAAAAAAGAAGAAACACAAACATGTCGAACAATTTATATGATTTGAAAAGAAAAGTTTAATAAATGACATAGCATTTTTTATAGACAGAAAAATTGTTTTCTATATTGATTAGAATTTTATACGTCAATTGAAAACTTATTAATGCTTCTTATTCTTTTCTTGAAATAATATGTCTTATTCGAAGTCATCAATAGTACTTTATTTCACATTCATTTTTTTTCCATTAAATAAATGGATTATGACATTTAGGAGATGAATACAAAGATGAAAAATATAAGTACATACTATGCATGTATTTTTTTTGTTTTGCTTCCAATATTTATTGCAAAATCAACTCACGAATAAATAGTTCTTTCTGTTTGGAGATCATTGTTCAAGTTAAAAAGGGTTTTTTGTCTGTGTAGAATATTAATCAATAGAATTTCGGATTATATTAAGACCATAGTGTTTCTATCAAACATTCACATCAATATGATGATGACTTACTCGATATCTCTATTCGTTATTATTTTAATCTATCATTTAAATATAAGTTTCGCTGATACTTCATCTATAACAACACAGGTTGGTATAAGAAGACAGGCATTAGAAAAGCAAAACATGACAAGTATTTTTCGGTATGATGATTCAATCACAACTTTTTCAGTATATCCTCCAACTAAACCATATGATCTCACAAGAATTACAACGTCTTGGCCATTAATAGCTTCCATGAGTATCAAAGCTTTTCGTTTAAATGATTCTGATTGTTTTTGTTCATATGATCAAACATTGAATTTATTATCATGTGCACCACACTTAAAAGATTCACGTTCACTTCCATTTTCTTCTATAAATAGACGTGTTATTAATATAACACTAATTAATTGTAAATTTTCTTCTAATCATTTAAATCTTCCATCAATCAATGGAAAAAGTATTGATTATTTACGACTACATTCTGTTAATCATGAAAAATATCTTGTTATTGATGGAGAATCATTATCATCATATACAATAAAACATATGTATATATTATATACTTATACTAAAGAAATAACAAGATTATTAATTACAAATGAAACATTTTCATCATCATTAATAAATTTATCATTACGCACACTTTATATTGATTCATGTTATCTTGTAACATTAAATAATACATTGAATAGATTAGTTGTTCTTGAATCAATTACAATGGTAAATATTCAACAATTTTCTTGGTATGATTTTCAACAAGAAATAATAGGTTTACCAAAATTACGTTATATTTATGTTGGTGAAGAAATTCATTCAGCAACAAATCAAATTTTTAATGTATTATCTTGTGAAGATATATTACCTCAATGGATATTAACCTTTCGTTTAACACAAACATGTAGTTGTCAATTTATTTCATTTTTAACAACAATTCAACGTTATAATAATATATTTCAATGTCCAAATTCAGATAATAGTATTGAGTATATTAATGATTATTGTCAATTAAATGGAAAAGAATATCAAATACGAAATCAAGAAAATTTTTTCTGCAATAAATGTTTATCTTATCAATGCTCTGATCAAACATTATGTACAG